TTATTATTTCAGATAGTGCCATTATATTTATTTGTTGTTACACAGAGCTATGCAGTAAGCTATCTGTGCTCTGCTTACAGCTGGTATTGAAACCTAATTTTTAGTGTTATGAATTTGTTTTTATTTAGACATTTAATGTGAGAGTAATTGGTTAGTTAAATGTAATCAGTTAACGAGTCTAATTATTAATAACAAATGCGAAAATAAAAAATTGTTTTGTTGTAGAAACATTAAATTAAAAAGTTTTTTCTATCAAGCAAATAATGCTGAAAGTTGTCTTTGATGAAAATGTATGGTCTTCTATCTTAAATCAATTTAAATATAATTTAAATTTGTTCTTAAAAGTAGAGCATGGCAATTAACCTGACACATTGATATAATCAATTATGTACGAGCATTGATTACTGATCACATCGTTTTGTGTCACATATAATAATCAAAACTTGAAGATAGCTTTGATATACAGAAACTTTGGAAAACTTTCATCAACCACCCACCAAAAAACGCACATCACGTATAATAGTTAAATGAACCCCTTAAATGTCCCGTTACTGTAGCCTATATAATGTGTAAAGTTTAGCATTCTATAATCTCTTATAATGATGGCACACGACGAGACACACATTTGGCATGTAATGGTGTTTGAATACAAGAAGGGAAACAATGCCTTAGTAGCCACAAAGAATATCAAAGAAGTTTATGGAAATGTTTTGAACGTTCATAAGCGTCAACAATGGTTCAGAAAATTTCGTTCAGGTGACTTTGGCCTTAAAAACTGTGATGGCAGGGGCTGACATGTTGGAATTGACATTGAAGCTCTGAAGAAGCTTGTTGAGTCTAACCCAAGACAACAGACTTGTGAAATGGCCTTGAAATGGCATGTCTGTCATGAAACAATACATAAACATTTAAGGAATATGGGAAAACTCCATAAAGAAGGTGTTTGGGTGCCTCATGAACTTTCCAATGATCATCGTTTCCAATGTGTGAACGTTGCATCGTTTCTTCTGGCGCATAATGCGCTTGAACCACTTTTGAACAGATTTGTCACTAGTAAAGATAAATGGATTCTCTATATGAATATTAAATGCCAAAAACAATGGCTCAGTCCTAGACAAAAACCACTTATGACCCCAAACCCTGCACTCCATCCACAGAAAGTGATGCTTTGCATTTGGTAAGACATCAGAGGAGTAATTCATTTCGAACTCCTCAATCCACAGCAAACTGTCAATGCAGAGATCTATAGTCAGCAATTGGAATGTTTAAATCAAGCCCTTCATCAGAAATGCCCTTTACTCATCCATTTGAAGAGGTTTTTTTTTCTCCAAGACAATGCACATCCACATGTGGCACATTTGATGCAACACAAGATTATGGAGTTGGGTTGGGAAGTTCTTCCCCACCCACCATATTCTACAGTGTAACACCATCTTAATTGGAAAACATATGCAAATGTGGAAAGTGTTAAAGAGGACATCAACATGTTTTTTGCTTCAAATCAAGTGATTTATTTAACCAATAGATTAACAACCTGATTGTAAGATGAAAAAGCATCATCGATAACAATGGAGACTATTTTATTTACTAAATGTTTTGTTTTGATAATAAGTTGTTTGGGTTTTTTCATCTAAAAAAAGCAACATTAATTTCTTGACGACCTAATAGTAAATCAAACTACTCATTATAAAATTTTATCCTCTGACTAACTTAAAATATAAATTATTTATAATTATATTTTATGTTAATCTAAAGCTCCAAACTATTTTATGCTGAACCTTAACAACTAATCAAGAATTAATAGTAAACTGAAAAACAAATTTTTGTGAGTGTGATACTAATGGATTATGCTAAAAAAACTTAAATTAATTGAGAATAACAATAAAAAAGCTAATGACAATATTTCAATTATTAAATAGTTAGAATAATCAAAACTGGTAATAATTAGAAACACAAGTTGATTATATAATTGATTTAATCATATTTTAAATTAATCGATTATTATATGAAGATAGCTTTGATATACGGAAACATCTGTTAGCTGAGTTCTTGCACAGATCTTGAAATATAATGTTCATAAATGGAAACATCAGCTCACATAGATACATAGCTCTTGAAAGTTGAATTGTTCAAAACTTGAAAATAGCATTGGTAACTGGACCAATTGTTGGTTGAGATGTTGCAAAAGAAATATCTGCTGAAGCTTTTTGCCAGACACTAATACATATATACAGAAAACCTACCTTTACAGGACAATACACACAATGGGATTCTTTCAGAACCAAAAGTCGCAAAATGAACCTCATTGCTATTTTAGTCCATCACTTCACAAAGATTGCAGGATAGAATTAAACAACCTGTACCCATATCCATAAGAACTAAGAGTGTGAAAGTAAAGAATTTACCATTTCGCTCCTGTAAAAGAAAAGTTCTGCCACCAAAATGTGAATCAGCGATTGGCCAGCATTTACTAGTGAACCCGACTTCACTTTCAAGATCTACATAAGCCAATGTTTCCATTTATGAATGTTATATTTTAAGATCTGTGAAAGAACTCAGCTAACAGATGTTTCCGTATATCACAGCTATTTCCAAGTTTTGTACAAAGAAAAACCTTTTCAAGTATTTCCAACAACAATACACTAAGACTCAGATTGAAGAACTCTTAAACTGTCTACCGTCTTTCAAAAGACATGCATCCCAATACGAGTCGTACTAAAATTTATTAGTAATTGCATTGCAAGATCCCGAGAGAAACAATTGAATGTACATTTTTGAATGATGAAATCTAGAAAAACCAAAAACAATATTTTAAAGTAAAAGTTCATTATTGCAACCTGTAGTCAAAAATTAGAAAATTTCTTTCATTTTTTGACATGATTCGCTTTTGCCACTATAATTCCAAAATTGATGAACGAATGGAAAAACCAGACAAAAACAAAACACGATCGTAACATAAACATTCTTACTGAGAAAGGTTTCAGTGGTTCATTGAATGACTAAAGAGCACATTATTAATCTTTCAGACTACCGCCTCTCTGAAGCAGAAGAATTTGTACTTAGACATGGTCTAGAGTTCTGTGTACCTACTAACAATATCCAGAGAGAGAGAAGATTTTTGCAGAAGTTGAAGTTTTATATGCTCAATTTACTAAACATAAACCAGTATCGGACGAAGAGCTAAGTTCGTTAAAGGCCAGACTACATGATTTAGCACATGCTTACTGTGGCACACCTGTCGACCTTACCAACTTCTATATGCATAGAGAACATTTTCAGACAATAAAATCTATGCTCGAATAAAAGTATTCTTATCACAAAACCTAACGAAGGTTCTGGTACCACCATTTTGAATAAAACTGATTAAATTGATAAAATATGTGACATTTTAAATGATGAAACAAAATTCAAAAGGCTAGGCACTGTTTCGCAAAAAGATAACATGGCAGAAATTGAAAACAAGTTACAAAAATGCTTATTAGAACTTAACAAATGTTCCTTACCATGTGATATTTATGACAGGATTATGCCCTCAGACTCACAACGTCCCCGCATGTATGGCCTGTCTAAAACGCACAAAAAGATGTACCACTCAGCCCAATTTTGCCTATGATTGGCTCTGCACAACATGAATTAGCATACATTGAGCTGACTCATTTTATAAGCTGTACTATTTCCTATAGATCATTTTCCAGACGGTTCTGCTATGATTAGTGTCTGGCAAAAAGCTTCAGCAGATATTTCTTTTGCAACAACTCAACCAACAATTTGATGACCTAATTTCATTTGTTAGTTTGGTACCATTGCTCTTAATGGTATTTTTGGTTTTATTGCAGTTACATCTCTTAAGATCAGGTCAGTTTATATACATACTTGTAGATTACTTCTACAAGTATTTCAAATTCTTTGAATCTTCCAGAAAGTTGCACAAAATGCTTTTGTTTTGTTAGTGTATTTACTAAAATTATAAAAGTTACTACTTAAATATATTATATATACTTTTATTTGTGAATGGTTTTGTGATGATGTATTGTGTGTGTGTGACTTGGCATTCTTTTAAATTTGATAGTAGGAGTATGGATACAAAGGGCTGGATGTATATGTAATTTGGTTTAGCTGCATCTGTTGACTTTTAAAGAGGTGATCTTGTGCATTTGAATGATTTTCTGGAATTTTTCTTGATCTTCTGCTCCTTGTGAGATATAAAATGTCATCAGCCAAACATCTTATGATACCAAGTTATTTTCATATAATATGTCAAACATATGCATGTTGTCTAAGCAAACTCTTAAGTAAGAGTAACATAAAATTGTGTTTAAAAGGATTTTTTAAATAATGAAGTGTTTTTGATTTTTAATTTTTGAAATAATGATTTGTGTTTAAATATAACAGAAGTGTACTTTTCATAGAGAAAAAATTACAGTTAAAAGCACTTAAACTAAAACTAATGTTAAGTAACAGTATTTGAGATGGTTTTCAATATTTTATGAAAAATACTAATGTAATAGTCTATGTGCTGTATATACATATTTCAGTATACAGAATTAGTTGCATGAGAATGTCTTCCAGATATTTGAGATACTTGTGGTTACAAAAGAAGTATCTACTTAAAGTAAAGGCTAGCTTAGTTGTTATGAATTTTATGTGAACTCCATATGAATTGTTGCTGTAATCTCATTAGTTTTATAAAGTCTTTGTTAGGTGGGATTACTTACATTTTAAAATTATACAATTATCTTAAGCTAAATGTAAATTAATTTTTGTAACTTTAATTTAGCATGTTTTGTATCTTATAATTTATATTATTCTTTATCATATGATCATTTACTTACAAAATTGAAAGGAAAAGAGGTATCTACACATACATCTTTTTATTAAGGTCTGTTGGAGATAAAATACTGACAAGGCAAAGATATTTGAATGTTATTTTGTTGTAGCATATATTATAATTTGTGCTTATTTATCAGCATTGTGAGCATCATATCTCCAATGTTTTTCAGTTATATTGGGTACCGAAGGTTCTCCTTATGAGAATGGTCTATTCAAGCTAGCTATTCAGATTCCAGATCGGTAAGTACTCATAATGCTGGTAGGTTAAAGTGTAAGTGCTTCTGATCAAATTAGTAAGTTCTATATAATACATTGTATTTTTGAATATAAAGTGTGCAAGCATGTACATGTTGTACATTTTATGAACAGAAAGTTGTGTTGGGATGAATTACTGTATAATAAAGTTTAAAAATATTCTTACAAAGGATGATTAATAGTATTAAGAAAATTGTAAAATTTTTTGTGATTAGTCTTGAAATTACTACCGATGACGGTATTGTACCATCACATAATATTACTGTACTAGATTAGGCTTAGGCTTAACAAACTTGCTTTTCATGGTTATGCAGATCATCTCAGTACTATGAAGATAAGTTGTTGGTTACTGGAATGCCTTGTATATACATTGTAAGAATAATATTTTTCTACATGATTATGTGATGAAAGTAAACTTTTTTTGAAAAAACATGAATGTATTGTCCAATTTGTAAAGTTCCCATCAGATGATATGGAAAAGCTTTTCCAATACATTGTTGAACAATAAGTACATGTGCAATCTTTTTATCCCTTTTATAATTTTGTTTTTATTTGTGATACATGTATAATGTTATTTTGAAAGTTCAAGTAAAGAAGCATTTATACATACTCCTGTAATGTTATGATTACCACCTGTAATATCAATTGGCATTTCACACTTGGCAGTAGTGTTGGAAGAGTTACAGATTGCTAACTCTTTGGTATCCTTACTGTTTTGAGAACATTGATTTCTGTTTTCTTGGAAATTGTTCTGTGACTATAATTTTCTAATATGTGAGATAATGAAAGTGTGAGGATGTTCTGAGCTTGATTGGTTGTGCTTGTGGGACACAACTGTGACATAGATGTAGAAGTTTTGGTGTTCTTTTTTTTAGGGAAATTAATTTTTACAGTTTAGAAATTGTGTGTGTGCGTGCATTACTTATCAGTCTTTATAATATACAGCTACAGTTCAAATCATCTATCATTTTCATGATTTTATTGTATATTTTGCTATGCTGTGATTTCAGTTTGTTATTTCATTCTGCAGTTTATCCATACACCTTCTGCATTAATCGTTTCATCTTTTGTTATATAATAATAAAGTGTGTACACTTCAATTTGCTTCAAAGTTAGTCTATCATCCTTTATCATAGGATCCTCAATTGGATGCTGATTACATCATATGATTAATTAAAAATTATTTTCTGAAATTATGAAACATTTATTAAATTTTTATCCCTCCTAAAAAACTTAGTTTCAGCTTTAGGTCTGCATAAGGTAGACACTACAAGCTCTATCCATCCAACATAGACCTGGTATTTAAATTAGATAATTGAGATATCTGCATATGTAAAGTTTTAAAATGTAATAGAGATATTATTTGACTAGTTTCTCCAAGAGACATAAAGTATTAGTAGGACTCTAGGTACACTTATTGTCTACCGCTGTAGTGAGTGTGTAGATATATTTTCTTCCATAGCAGACATTATCTCTTTTTCACTTGTACAAGCCAAAAGTTTTCAATATTTTTGTGGTTGGCTCCCAGATCCTATTATAATAATTAGTTTTTGCATGCATTTTAGGTATAATTTTAGACTGGTTAAGGAAGAAACTAACTACTAAATCATCTTTGAAGCTAAGACAGGTTGTTTCTTATTATAATTTGGCAAAATTACTGCTTAAAAATTTTAATAAGTCTGTGGAAATAATAGAAAGACAAGCACAATACTTTTTTTTTCCAGTTATTAAACTAGTTGAATCAAGCTAGCTGGAAAAATGAAATCCCTTTGTGTATATAATACCAAAACCAATTACTAATGGATAAAGAAGGATGCCAAGGTTTTCAAGGGTATGAAGTATATTGGTAACACAGAGGATGCTGAGTTATTATGAAAATATATATGTATAATGTATGGGTAAATTTTTTTAAGGCTATTAGAAGTAATTTTCTTTCCCTGATGAGATTTATTCTACACTTTTTGAAGAAGCTGAGAAGAGTATTGTGGTGCATTCAATATGTACTAGACATTAGGGAAAACTGATGCCTGTTTAAAAAAAAGAAGAGCATCGGGAAATAGCCTGATTTTTGTGATTGGGAGAAGTACCTTTGTGGATTTGATACTACTAACTTTTAATATAGTGTGTATATCTTCATGAAATTTGGCAGACTTTCAGTAAATATTAGAAGTCTTTCACATACAAAAAATCATATTTTTTGTGAAGTATTTTTAATAAATTAAAAAATATTTCTCCACGAATATATTGAGTATTTGTTTTGAATAGTCCATGTGTAAAGTAATTTTCATGTTAAAATTATAAATACTTTTCCTCATCTCAAAAATCTCAAATTTCCGTTGTGTAACCCCTAATACCTCCTAAATGCATTTCCAACGTTTTTCTTCAATAAAACTTTATAATTTATCTGTTATTTTCTCTACCCTATCTCAAAATGGAATCGGTCAATTCAACAGACTCATAACCACCAAAAAATTGAAATAAATCTAAATTACCCTTTTTTTTCTTCCTAGAATGACTTCAAATTGTAACATGAAACTACATTTGTTTATCCTAAGTAGCTCTATGTTCTTAACAGTGTACATCTATTTATAATTAAATTTTATTGTTTTATTGCCCTTTGAACCATGTCTAACTGCTATTTATGCCATTATAACTTGTAAATCACTTGGGGAATGTGTAGCTCACATTACGCTAATGGAATACATTTACCATGAGCTGCTCATGTGCATGACTCATCAACCATTTTAATTATATTATAATTATACTTATTTTACCTAATCTGGTCTTAAATAACTTAAGAAGATACCTATTTTTACATTTTAGTTACTTTTATAATTATACATAAAGAATAAACATGAAAAACAAGAAATAAAATATGTAACCAATATTCTTATTTTTTATGTCGATTGACAAAGAGAGTTAACCCTAATTTGTTTATACCAATGGTAATAATGTTTATTGAATTAAATAATGCACCAAAGAATATAGTCTCATTACATGCAAAAAGTACACAAATTTTTCTGACTTTCTAACTATGCGACAAGAGCAGTTACAAATTCATCCAAGCTAGTTGTTAACTTTCTCACGGAAACTATGTTGGTACTCTGAGTGACACTGACATTTAATCAATCAGAACATAACATTATACAATACTTAATTTGTGAGATGAAAACCTTGACTTTCTATTGGTTATAGGTAACATAATTAAACGTAAGAGAGAACTAATAACAAATTCTGAAAGAGAGGATGTGATGGGGGGGGGGAATCTGATTTTCTGTTCTGTAGCTCTGTAACCTAACAGAATTGAAGAATAACAATTATGAACAGTGGTGATTTTATAGAAAGTTATTTATGTTTAATTTTGTACTTTTTTGAGGGGTGGTGGATAAAATAAGGAAGATGACTGTTAAAAGAAAATGTGTCACATGGGTCACACTAGGGGTAATTCAGGATTTTTTAAAATGTTGCCTTGTAGAATTAAGAACTTAAAACTTATATATTATTAAAATATGGATTATTAGCTAAGCTTTTATGCTATTCTAATTGGTATAACAGAAAGTAGTTTAATAAAATTATGAAAGTAAGGTACTAAAACCTTGTGTCATGCGTAGTAAAGGATACCCAAAGGTTCTTTGGAATATGTATTTTTAAGTTGGAAGAACCAGGCAGTTTTAGTAAATTGGCAGGAATGTGACAAATCTATTTCTTATCAAGAAGAAATATAGTGAAGCACTTAAAATATGAAAATTCAGAAGGGACTTGTTTTGTATGAGAAATGCCTTGGTAGTGTGAATATATGCTTGAAACCATAAACTATTAAAGGTAATAAAAAATGCTAATAGAGCTCACTTTTGGGATTTATTTAAATTGAATTTAAGTTACAATGGTTATTATAACATTCTATAACTTTATGATGTTCATTGAGGTGCACCTGTTGCCCATGAGCAAAATTGTACCATTGATTAAGAAAATTGTAAAAAATAAACTTCCAGTCCTTTTTCCACACTTTTTCTTTTATATTTCAGAGCTGAAATTTATTCAGTAGTAGAATTTCATTTACTTAAATTTTATACATAACAATTTTTAAAAAAATAGTTTATTTTGGTTTAGGGTTGATATCAGTGTGTTCCAAATGCAAACGTTAGTGTTCGTGAATTTCCTGAATTCTTTCCAAGTATAATATCACCAGAAGGAAAATTGAAGTAGTTTCGAGCAAAACAGCACCAATTTGAACTTTGTAAGTTCACTACAGGTTTATTTTTATTGATTTTACCCATCCACTGTTTGACAACCTCAGTTGTCATGATGGTTATGTAAATTGTCAATATCAGCTTCAAATAGTTATAGGCTAGTGTTCAAAATACACAATTAAATCTCTTCTTTTTTTTTTCTGTTCTTTTCAACTATATAAACAAATTAATATAAAATAGGTTTAAGTCTTATTGAATGTATATTAAATGAAACCTTCTGATTAACAATAAAAAAAGTTGACTTATCATTTTGGTATGATAATAGTTGTTTTTATTGTATGTCAATGGTCATAAACACAAAGAAACTAGGAGTGTTTTTTCAAAAACCAAAAAACAGAACTTAAAGTTTGATAAAATAAACTTTATTGAAAAGCTTTACAAGTTTCTTAAAGTACTTCACTAAAAAATATGATATTTTGCTTCACAGAAGTTACATGATCTGAGAAGGCTCTCTGAAGTTTTGAACAATTTCTTTTAATACCTTTTCTTTTTTGGCAATACAGTAAAACAAATCATAGGATGTGGTTGAATCAGCCCCTCTGAGTGAATATGGAATAAAACTCGATTCCTATTGTAAAAGATTTGAGTTGTGATAAAAGGCTTAAAATTTTTGGACTTGTTTTAACTGGACTGTAAGATAAGTGGTGAATTGATTCATGTTTTTAAAATTATTAGGACATGAATAATATTCCTGAAGAATATTAGTTTGGGTGATTTGTAAGTCTCCTCGTGAAC